GAAAAGAGGAAATGTAGTACTTTGTCACATCAGTATTAAAACCAACGGTGTAATTTGAGTGAGGCAGAGGGAAAAAAGAGATTTTCTGAAGTTGTGGATTCTATTTCCACGAAGTTTCTTTCAAAACAGAATATTGAGAGCTGCTACTAACCGCAAATTCTGACAGGTTGTCAGGTCCAAGGGTATCTACATTGTCTTGTCCCAGAAGGCTCCAGGCGATCGCATGCATGTAAATACCACTCAGAAAGCGAAATACGGTCCTTAATGACATGAATGTGAAAGGAAAAAGCGTGCTTAGCAGATATCACGAACACCATTATTGCGGAACACACAACATCAAATTGCAGAAGCAGTTAATGATAAACAATTTAATTAAACCAGTGAGTTACCTAGCTTAGTCAATAAACTAATTATCAGCTTTATCTGGCTGCCTGGCATTTTTAGCTCTTAGGTTATTTCGGGCAGCCAGCGCGCCTATCATTGTCTGTACTATTATTATAAATTTTTCTTTCTTGTATATTTTGGGGTGAAAAAAAATAAAGTTGTTGTTGTTGCTGTTGTTATCATTATCAGCTTATTTCAATACATTGTGGAGCAAAAGTAACCAAACTTAAATTCCTATACATCCAATACGCCCGTCGCAATACTTAAAATTATTTTGGTATTTTGACATAGTGGTTAAGGATAATCAACGTCATATCAGTGCTGGATTCTGTAGAAGTATGAAATAGATAGGTATATATCGCAAAAATAAGATCTTTCAAACAAGAATATCTTTGGATTGGAGTTATACAAATTCAATCAAATTGTTCAGAGCAAACCTCATAGCGCTAAGAATCGTGAACTTCTCTACAGACTCAGCAGCAATTGTGATAAAAGCCATAACATTTATCTCTACCATGTTGAAACATATGTTCACCAAAACCGAAAAGAAGCCGAAGTAAACGAGAGGAAGCCAGCTTTGATGATCGCCAGTACACAGAAAGCACCGATTGAACAAAAGAGGGAGAGAGATGGCCATGAAGACTGTTGCCAAAAGGTGCCAAGATTTTCGCCTACCAATTCTCTTTGAAACGCAAGGTAAGTTTACCTGATCACCGAGATAATCAGAAATTAAATGGGAGAAAAGAATGCGTCTGCAATTTCACCAACGAGTATCACCAGTCCTGCGTCTGAGGCTGAAAGTTCAACAACTTTCATGAAGAACAAAAGCTCAAATAACTGTAGGAGCTGTCGGTAGAAGTCGTTGAAGACATTTCCAACTGCACATGCTAATCTTACCCTGACCTGCACCTTAAAATAGCGCAGAAAGAATCTTATGGCCGAGCTCAATCCACTCTGTGTTATCAAACTGGCTCCGACTGTGAAAATTCAATACCGCGGAATGGTAAAAGAGATAGAGCTTATAAACTGGGTTTCAAAGAACGCCTTGTAGAAAATATCAAAGACGGTGATGGGTGTTTTCTTGGCCCCCAAAAATCTTAAACTAACCACGGAATGGGAAAAAACAGTGCATGTCAATGATTTTGCAATGACCATAATATTTAGCATCGTTTGGAGACCATGGAACTAATGCCTGAGTACTCTTCCTCGTTGAAGTTTGAAGGATTCTTTCTGGAGTAATAATTTCAGAAAGATCTCATACCAACACGACGATTTCAGTTCGATCTTTAACAGTGTGAATTTCAAGAATGAAGTGCTTCCAAAGTTAAATTCTTGACTTTAATATTCATGGTAATGCTTTCTCACCTAGTAAACCTCTTTGCTTCTCTTACACAAACAGAATTATCGACCATGGATAGCCGTGTGACCAAAACTGATTTGGATCTTGGAAAGGTTATCGAGTTGCTAAAAAATGGAGTCGTCAATGACGCACATAACTGTTGTTATTTGCATAACCTAAGGAATCGAAACTTGTCTGAATTCACAATTAAGGTGTGTGAAATACAGTACAGTTGGAACTTTTACGTTCTTTATCTCAATCCCAAGAAATGTTGATTTAGAGTTCAACTATCTACCAAGAACACTGGAAAGAATTCTGTTTTAAATTGTCACCAAAATAGAACTCATTTAGATCTTTGTCTTCTTCTAAGAACGCTGATTTTGAAATCAGTTTTTGTAATTCAGTGCCTTGAGGACATTGTCGTCAATCAGCCACCTTCCATGACCTTCATGTTTTCTGGCATTTTATCAATATTATAACCGTAAGGGAAAGTTTATCTAGCGTACCTCACTTGAAAGCCTAAAAGTTAAGAGAGTGGCTTCATTTGAGTCAGAAGTTATTGCTAGCCGGTAAGCTGATCCTTTAAATGTAGCCATCCATCCAGGCTATAAGTTACATAATGGTGACTGATTAAGATAATAGCATAAGTTAAAAGTAGGTAATTTAATTGGAATCAGAAGAAGATCATGTATGGATCTTGAAAGCTCAAGATTGAACAAGATTGAGTATAACAACCTTTAATGTCAGCCAACGTGTAGAACGTACAAACTACGTATTCAGAGCCCGCCGACTTGTCAGCGGTTGCCAATGATACCAAACATTGTTACAGATGAGATGATTATCCATCTCCGCTGTCCTTCTAGCGTTTAATTACGTTAGGGTATGTATAACTGTAGACATCGTTACCTCTGCAGTATAAATTCTTTACAACTCTCTTAACTGTAAGCTCAACACATTTTTATATTTAACCTTTTTGGGATCTAGCAAAGCAAAAGCATCTGTATGAGAATAAAAAGAATTGCAAAGATTCTGTGTCCAGTTAAAGAAAGTGCTTAAAGACTGCTATCCAACAAAAAATAAAAATCATAGTCGCATGATGGGCCCTACTCAAGCTTTTTTCTTTTATTATGAAGAATTCCGCTACGTGTTCTCGGACAGGATGAACTAGTAACGAATTCATCTCCGATTTTAAAATAAAAGATAATGACTGTACACACGTACCGCAGTCTCGAATGTTCAGCATTAATCTTTACTGGAATCGACGGAAAGGATTTAACTCTGCGACTTTGGATTATGCTAAAAGTAACTTAAACAAGCAAAGTATTGATTTCCAGTAAGTTCCTGTTAGAAAAATGAATTAAGTAAAAGCGAGTGTATCTTGCATCCAGATTATTGTTAAATTCACATAGAAAGGAAAATCATCGCATCTTCCTAATAGAATGGCGAGTCGACACAGAAACTGACCATATGTACCGTACCTAATTCACGGTTAGGTAAGGTGTGAGTTGATAAAAAAAAAAAATTAATAAAGCTAACTGTAATTATTGAACTGTAGAACTTAGAAAGCTATTTCTTCGTCGTTCGGAGATTATAGTAAAAACATATTTTCAATTTCTTGTTGACTATAATAGACCTGTGAAATATAATATTATTAACCAGGCTTCCCAACACCGAGATAAATAAGTCACAAATACCTTTGTTTAAATGATATTAATTGTCAATTTTGTCTTTGGACGAACTTTGTAATGATGTTTAGAATGGTCGATCAAACAACACCGACATATACTATACTTGTGGCAGAAACTATAGTTTTGTATCTTCGGAAAAAGAATGCACCGCAGTGATAGAAGAAGTTTGATTTTTATCCAAGCAGACGTTCTGCGTTACTTCATTTTCGCGTGGAACTTGGATATCAAACGATGATTGGTCAGCTTGATCCTCTAAATTCTGTGACCCTAAATAGGTGAAATGACAAAAAGTAAGGTTGTGCATTGGAAAAGATACAACGGCATGTGGCTGTAATAAAATATCATGCCCTAAATATGAAACACTGTAGAGGATATCATGTGGCTGTAATAAAATATCATGCCCTCAATATGAAACACTGTAGAGGATATCATTCAACACAACACAACCTGGTAACTTACCCGAGGAGTAAATGAAAAAATTACAACACAAAACTGCAGAGCCCCTTTGATTACGATATGACATATCGTCTGAATTGTAGAAAGGGCTGAGAGATATGGGAGCGCTATGCAGTTTATCTTGATGATGATACTTTAGCTCAAGAACCAAAATCATACAAAGAATTTGTATTTTTACCTTTACTTTTGATGGAACTTTTTGATGGTTGGAAAAGCAAAACCAACAGGAATCCGACCAGAGTTAAGGTCCCAGGTGTCATCGCAAACACAAGCCGCACGTACTCGCCAACCGCCCTGTTTGAGCTGAGTTGAATTGAGGAAGGGAAATTTAGCAAATACGACCATTACATTCGTAGATGATTAAAAGTTTCATGGCGCTAAGATTTTTTTGATCTGAGGCAGAAAAGTGGACTCGACCGAGAAAATTTTAGCTGGTTTGAATCGAGAGAGAGGAAAATTTAGCCGATCAAAACCTTACATGAGGGATTGAACAATGATAATTGAGTTGAGCTGAATGCCATTTGGTCTGAAATCGTTTGCTTGATTTCAAAATCAAACGAGGAAGTAGCGCAGGTTTGATTAAAAAAAACAACAAAACAAGTATGATTTCAGATCAAATTTTGAAAGACTCAGAATGTTGAAATCGCAAAATTCATTCGTTCAAATACAAGTTTTTTAGTCTGTACAAATACTTTATTGATCCAGTATCGTCGAGATGGTTTGAAATCTGATCGGTAGCTGTGTTTTAGTAAAGCCGACTCATGGGCTGAGAAAAATATGCGATTTAGAGAAGAAAATTGTGCGATTCGTAACTAAATCGCACCGTTTAGAGCCAATCAGATTGCGAGGATCATCTCAACGGTACTTTGAAATAGTGCAGAAAAGTGGGTGGATTCGACCAAGGATAAGCAATTTCTCTACAAAGTGAGCACCAAAAAAAAAAAATCATTAGTCTTCTGGTTTGAGCTCTTGTAATCTTTGAAGTTCGTATTTTTTTCCGTACGAATACTAGTCTATTTTCCATGTAAATGACCTGTTTTTCAAAATGTGGCTGACTGACCTTTCCTCAGGGTACAACTTCTGTATACAAATGATTAGTCCACCGCTTGAAATTCTGGCGATCACAGTGATAGTGGCAAATACTGATCCACTGGTTTCCTGAAAATTGACAATTTATAGACCAAAATTATATACGGCAGTGCAGAGCTAAACGCGGTGGACTCATGATTTGATCTTCCAGATTTAGCTGCTGGGGAAGGACATCCATCACAGGGGAAGGACATCCATCACACAGTAATCTCGTGCGTGGGAAATAAACGTCTCCTACCCCTCCTTCAGGAAACAAGACCTCCATTTATTCGTCCCTATCCGAGAAGACTACAATTTCTAACATTTCTTGATGTTATAGAAAGGAAGCATATTCTTCTAACTTAATTTGAGACCTTGAGTGTTGGTCCGGCCGGGGCTCGAATCCTCGACACAACAACAGTTTAGCGCTCTATCCATTAAGCTAACTGGGAGTTTAAAGAACTATGAGGAAGAACTGGCGAAATACTAAGGGTATTTTTCTTATACGTTAGTATGACATCCAGGGGCCTCATGCTGCTTAGGCTGGGATACTTGTTTGCAGACTGTGCCTAATTTTTTTTTCCTAGTGGATTTCATAAAGTCACCAATGATTTCTACAATTAGTTCCAACTTCACCAAGGATTACTCAATATGCAATCGGGGGGATAGCTGGCTAAGAGTAAAATGTCTTAGGGAATTCTCGTATCCACTCTTTCCAAAAAAAAACTATTGATTTAGTTCAAAAATTGTAACACTAACCTTATTTTCTCCAATCAATTCTGTAATGAAGACAAGTACCATTACGTACATAATCGACAGACCGCTTCCTATCATTACCACTGGTGCATAGGTCGACTGTTTCGTGGGGACGGCCAGAAAATAACTCCAAATGGCACCACCCGTCACAAGGAAAGCCGCCAGTATGTAGCTCCACTTATTTTCGTGACCAATAAAACATTGAAATTTAGTAGAATCACATGACAATTAACAATCATTTTTCCCTGAGCCTGAAAACGCAAATCCATTGATTTATTACTTCCAGCCGCAAGGGAACCGATAACCAATGACCAACGATCAATGACCAATGGATTTATAGTGGCAAGCATTCTGAACGTCAAAATGTAATATAGGGATCACGCGATCTTCTTGTTAAATGATAGCTGTTCATTATGTGACTTATCTAACGGCCATACCTTAAGCTTACCTTACTTCCGATCTTGCTACTAAGTCTGTTGCATATCAAGCTTGACAAGGAGGAACTGATCAGGAGAATAAGTGGGATGTAGGCGATAGCTTCCTGATAAGAGGAAAGAAACATAATATAATCACACTCAATAATTTTTTAAGCAAGAGAACACTCGAAATCGTAAATAGAGAGGACTTTAATATATATAATACCTTTACAAATAGCAGCCTTTCAGTAAGGAATAACGGTAAATAACTGTATACAGCGTCCTGTGCAAGGCGTGTACATGTGAAAATAATGGCTACCTGAAAAAGAGAGACATCAGAAAAAAGAGGAAGAAAAAGTACGGAAAGTGTTTTAAAAATACTTTAGGAGCAAACAGGAAAGACTGTAAAAGGCTTATTTGTTTTTTACCTTATACAAGTTTGGATCTCTCAGCCAATCTTTGATTCTTTTTGGACGTTTCCTCTTAGACTGAACACTTTCCGGTAAAACATGAGGACCATGTAGATCAGGATTTGCTTCTACAACTGAGGAATTATTGTTTCCTTTGTAAGATACTATACTTTCATCGTTTTTCCAACTTTGTCTCAGATAATTCTGAGCACTTTCATTTAGGTTTGTTGTTTCTCCAATCAATTCATTAAAAACCAATTCCTTTGGCTGGTCCTCGAGCATTGACGGCATTGCTGGAAATACAGGTGAACTGAAAGTCACGGCCTTGTTTGGCTTCCCAACTGAAGTATTCAAAACATTTGCTTTCACCGCATCTTCATTACGATCACAGGTAAATCCAAAGCTAGGCAGTCTATAATCATCTCCATTAGGGATTGCAGGGTGGCCGTATTCACTTTGCCCGTGGTCGGACGAAACTGACGCTTCAGAGAAGTCTTTAATCATGGTTTCTTTGTCATTTCCAATTTTCCTCTCTCCTTTATTGCTAGAATCCATTCCAAGGGACGTTTTCCTGATTTTTTCTTCAGGAATGGTATCCATCTCTTCTTTCTTGCAATACTTTCCTCCAGTTATGTCCTTGTCGTATTCATTGTCCTCTGCTGCTTGATGTCCATTGCTGCCAGTATATGTTGCTTGCCTTTCCTCTGCGTGGTGCAGTCTAGAAAAGAGTCCGTTATAAACCCGAAACAGGAGACTATTCTTACGTTCGCGATCTAAATTTTCTACTTCTAAACATATCCAATTTTTCGTGTCCTCGCTTTCTGGATTGTTGCGTGCCATTTCAGTGTCAGGATTTGATTGATTGTGATCCGAATCATTTTCTTTGTCTTTCAATAGAGCGTTGACAGACTTCCGCAAAAAACTTTTCTTTCTTTCACGCTGCTCTCGGCTTAGGATATCTTCACTTTCGTTGAGGTCATGCTGGTAGGTTTCAAATTGAGACGAAGCCATAATCATGTCCACAAATCTATGGGCAAGACTTTCTTTAAAAGAGTCTCCCATGAAAGAAATAAAACAAAATCAGTTTGTACACTTTTGCATGAAGCTCCCCTTATAAATTGTCAACATTATAAATGGCATGAGCAATGTGTTTACACTGTTGACTGAAGTGAATTCATTTTTCGGAAATAATTATTCAAATAAAAGTGTATGCTGCTATAAAATTGCAAATTCTATATAGACTTACCTGCATTTTTACTTCCAAACGGTGTCAATATGATTCCAGGAGCATTCTGCAATAAAAAAGGAAGGATAACTTACTGAGTCCGTCTATTCCACAACCTGTGGCCGTAAAACGAATAAACTTGCAATATTTGCACAATCATCGAACGATTCTGTAAACCTGATACCTACCGCTAAAGTGTCGGTAACAAAAGTGAGCATAAGTGATAAGTACCTCAGGGTGGAATTTATTTTGAATAATACGTGCATCGTTTAAAGCGAAATAAAGAAGGTGCCAGTACCAAATATTTGTTCAGTCACAGCTATCATTTCGTGGCTTTACTAACTTGATCTTGACTTACCATAATACTTGAATATGTGCTATTTACGCGTAAACGTCTCTGAGGCTCTTTTGTAGGAGGGTTCTTGCAGTCAGTTTCATCGTATTTTCCATCCTTTTCGCTCGCTGCAACTTGATCTTCAATGCTACCAACACACGTTGATTTCTTCCCCTTTTCGTTCAGTTTTTGAGGTTCCTTTGCACCAAAGAGAAAGATGAATGCAAAGAGGACTCCTGTTCCAGTAGCTATCCATGAGAGGGACTGGAAACAAAAAGCAAGGGAAATGACTAAAAAGGATGTCTTCACTGCAAGTAAAGCTAAGGAAAGGAAGTTCTAACGAAGTAATGAGAGGATAACCCCGGCTGCGCATCTCTTAGCATACCATGTAGTTTGAGTTCAACAGAGGGACATTGCGATTCCCGGCTATAAGTTTTGAATATGCATCTTTGCGAAGTTTCTTGACAGGTGCTTCTTACCACAAAATCTGGTAATCTAACAGGACTCGAAGTGACTTTGCCATCAACCGTTTGACATCTGTAGATATCTTGCATTGGCTTATGCAATTTTTCATCACTAGAGTGTATTGATTCTAAACAGATTAGAGAAACTTCTAACCGTAAGTTCTGGAGGGCTATTAGCTTCCAGAGCATCGCCATTGTCAAGACCAAGAAGGCCCCAGGCGGTGGCATAAATATAAACACCACTCAAGAAGCTGAACATTGT